TGTCTCAGTGCTAAATATTAAAACATGCAAATGCCTGTGAAACAGTGACCTTCATCAGTGATGCGATGAAGCTGGTCGGACTGCTTCCACCAAACTACATCTGTTTCCGCTGTGGGATTCCTGGACATCACATTAAAAACTGCCCGAGCACTTGGGTAACTGGGCTTTCAGAGATCACAGCTGCTGGGAACCTGAGCTCTTTTCCCCATTAGTCTGTTTGTTTGCTCAGAGTTTGAATGTCACTCATGAATTCACAGGACAAAAGTTTTGCTCCTCGTAAACGCATGCGGAAATGCGCAGGGATTCCTCGTAGTTTCCTGGTGGAGGTGGATGATCCTGACAGAAAGGGAGTCATGATGGACAGCAGTGGGAAATACGTCATTCCCATTATGAATGCGTGAGTTTACTGTACTTGCAGGTTCTAGTGTTTGTTGTCTTGATTTGTTTTAATCATGTCGTGTTTGATCTGTTCAGTGAGGCCTATGCGATTAGGAAGAAAGAGAAGCCGCCCTTCTCACCCCAGAATGAGCCTTCATCCTCATCCTCATCCGATCCAGTCCCCGCCGCGCTGCTATGTCTGATCTGTAAGGATCTGCTGACTGATGCTGTGATGATTCCCTGCTGCAGCACCAGCTACTGTGATGAATGTGAGTTCAGTCTGTTCAAACAAACATCAGTCAGAAACAAACTGGCTGTTTCTGATTATCTTTTGGTCTCAGGTATCAGAACGTGTTTGCTGGAGTCTGACGGACACCTTTGTCCAACCTGCAGACAGTCAGATGTTTCACCTGACGCTTTGACCGCAAACACTGTTTTGCGTCATGTAAGACCTTCTGCCCTTTTTCTTCTTGTGGATCATCTTCTACATCTTCATTTCAGAACTATTTCATGATTCTTTCTCACACAGGAGGTGAATCATTTTAGGAATGGAACCAGATCTTTGCGTCCAAACCACAGCCGTCGATCCCGGTCACCCATCCCAGAATCCTCATCAAAGAGGCGTCGGGATGTGAGAGAGAATCGTTCCCACTCAAGATCTCCTCTAAACAGATATACAGACCAGAAGAGACTACATTACTGAGAAACTTTCAGTCCTGCATTGGAGAAACATTGTGAAGCACTGGCTCCAAGCTAAGAAACACAAGCAGCAAAAAAATAAAAAAATAAAAAAAGTTATATTTTAATAAATATATTTCACATTTGCTATATTTGCTTGATATTTTTTAGGAACATTCAGAAATAAATATGAATGTATATATTTTGTATAGATTTGATTAATTTAATAAAGGTTATAGAAACAATATCAAATAGTGATGCATTTATTAAAGAAGTGTTACCACTGGGTATATGTGTCACATTTGCTACTGTGTTGGAGCGTGGAACGAGGAACGAGGAGACGTGGTGTACATCAACAAGGAAGTTTTAATAAAATCAAGGGAACCAGGAAAACACACGTAGCTGAGGAGGTAGACATCAACAGACATTCACAATACCGGACGACCAAACTTAGAACAGGGCTCACTATAAAGTGGAGCTCGGGGCGCCATGGCGGAGCAGGCAGACTAGGAAGCCATGGCGGAGCAGACAGTTCAGGAAGCCACGGCGGAGCAGGGAACTCAGGAGGCCATGGCGGAGTAGGGAACTCAGGAGGACATGGCAGAGCAGGGAGCC